CATCCTTGAACCGAGACACTGGCAATCCCACCACAAAATCCATCGTGATCATGTCCCATTTCCACTCAGGAATAGGGAGACTCCGCAATAATCCACTCGGCACCTGATGCTCAGCCTTCACTAGCTGACATACATCGCACTCAGAGACCCATTTAGCTACGTCCCTCTTCATCCCGACCCAATGATAATACCGCTTCAGATCTCGGTACATCTTGGTCGCTCCTGGATGAATAGAGAACTTACTCGCATGAGCCTCACTCAAGATCTCACGTCTCAACTCCTCATCCTTGGGCACACAAACTCGCCCATGCACAAGGATAGTCCCATTGGCTGCAACCTGATACTCTGACTCAGTATCCTTAGAAGCATTAACCAGCCCTGCATCCTTCTCCTGAGCTGCTCGAACTCTGGTCAGAAGGTCTGCTCGGTTAGCTGCTTCTAACCCCAGTGGCTCCTGAGAAATAGCACACAACCGCAAGGTGCTAAGTTCTCCCACCAAGGTCTCCATGTCCTGCCCTCGAGCTGAAGCCGCTCGCCTCCTGCTCAGAGCATCTGCAACCAGATTAGCCTTACCGAGATGGTAAGCTATCTCCAGATCGTAGTCTGCAACCAACTCCATCCAGCGCCTCTGCCTCAAGTTCAACTCAGGCTGCGTGAATATATACTTCAGACTTTTATGATCTGTAAACACCTGAACCTTCGCTCAATACAGATAAGATCTCCAAATCTTCAGAGCAAAGACCACCGCTGCCATCTCCAAATCATGAGTAGGGTAGTTGCCCTCATGCTTCCGCAACTGCCGCGAAGCATAGGCGATCACCTTACCCTTCTGCATTAACACACAACCCAAACCAACTCCCGAAGCGTCCGTGTACACCACATACGGCTCTTTCTGCTCCGGCAAAGCCAAAACCGGCGTACTCGTCAACATCTCCTTGAGTTGAGCGAAACCCTACTCACACTCAGGGGTCCACACGAAAGGAACATCCTTCCCCGTCAGCTTGGTCATTGGCTGAGCTATACTGGCAAAGCCCTTCACAAACCGCCTGTAGTAACCTGCCAATCCCAGAAAACTCCGTATCTCTGTGGCATTCTGCGGTTTAGGCCAATCTCTGATAGCCTCAATCTTCTCCGGATCCACAGAAACTCCCTCTGCAGACACGATATGACCTAGAAAACCCATCTTTCTCTGCCAGAAACTACACTTGCTCAACTTAGCATACAGCTTCTGTTCCCGCAGCTTCTCCAACACTGCCCGCAAGTGTATCTCGTCCTCCTCAGTACTCTTAGAATACACCAGGATATCATTAATGAAGATGATAACAAACTCATCCAGAAACGCCTGAAACACGCTTTTCATCAGGCTCATGAACGCCGCTGGTGCATTAGTCAACCCGAAAGGCATCACCACGAACTCATAATGCCCATACCTCGTCCTGAACGCCGTTTTACGGATATCCGCCTCGTCGATAGGAATCTGATGGTAACCCGACGCCAAATCGATCTTAGAGAACCACGTAGCTCCCCTCAACTGGTCCAACAACTCATCAATCCGCGGCAAAGGATACTTGTTCTTCACCGTGACTCGGTTAAGTCCCCGGTAATCGATACACAGCCGGAAACTCCAATCCTTCTTCTTAACGAACAACACTGGTGCACCCCACGGTGAAACACTAGGACGGATGAAACCCTTACCCAGCAGATCCTCCAACTGCTTCTTCAGCTCCGCCATCTCCGCTGGAGCCATCCGGTACGGAGCCTTAGACAACGGCGTTGTCCCGGGCTCCAACTCAATCGTGAAGGGATCAGACCGAGATGGTGGTAACCCCTTCAACGACTGAAACACATCCTCGAACTCCTGAACCACCCGGATCTTATCCACTGCCACCTCATCGACCGTCTCTGGCATGACAATCGTAGCCAAAAAAGCTTCCCGCCCCTTTCGGA